TTCCCATTTTATTACGGTGTATCCATATAAATGGCCCACCCTGTAGTTCTTAACTAGTTCCAAAACTGTCATGTGGTTCTAGTGCACACATGTGCATGCTGTTGTAAAATACAACCTCTATCTGCATCCCACAATGGCCTAATACCAAGCATCTTCAATCATACTAAAAGCTATTCTTCAAAGGGGATTTGTGTCTCCAGCTGGAATTGCACCAGCAACCAAATGAGCATGTGAACCACAACACATCTTTCATGAAAATAAAAATATTTGGTGTGGGAGCCCTAGCAGAGTACAGAATGACTGAAAATCCCTGGTTTTACTCTCACCATTAGTAAACCATATAGAAATATATTGGTGCACACTCTATGGAGATCTGACTTGTTTTGCTTGCCACAAAACTGATATATTATCACTTAAAGTTTATATGGTGAGTTTATTGACAAGGAGATGCCATTTTACAAATGCAGCAGACTGGAAGAAACATCTACTTCATTAGTTCCACCAACAGAGATTTATCCGCCTGTTTTATTGAAACTTTCTATGCTATATTCACAAGACTGGTGGTAATTGGTGCTTGGTCGGCAGGAGTTGGTCTACCATGGTTTTCTTTCTTGTTTTTTTTCTGAACCACAGTTGGGGATTGTGCTGATGAGCAAGGGAGACTGTTTAAAAACAGCAATGATCACGCAATCAACTCAAGACAGTTAACCGAAAGACTGGAGTTGTGCGTTTGACACCAGGAGCATCACCTTCCACATTACATGAAACCATTTCATCCTTTCTTTTTGTAAAAATATCACTTTTTAAACCAAAATTGAATTCAAATGGCTCTTAAATGAGCTCAGTTGTTAGAACGGTCACCGCAAGTGACAAGGATTAATTGCTGCTTTCCTTTCTGTGTGCTGAGCCGACCTATTCTATTCCCATGGCATCAAATACTGCCATTTCGTCAATGCCACCGGTGTCTCAGAGATGGGCACAAAGTGTCCTCTGGTGTATGTGCCAAGCCTCCCAAGACGTGCAACCAGCAGGCAGCGGTTTGTGTCCTGCTTGAAAGCTTTGTTTGATTTACATGTTTTATTTTCAGTCACTTTTTGTTTGCATTTATTTACATCATGAAAAATAAAACACCAAGGGGTCCTGACCATGTGTCTGTATGTGACATGCGCTTGAGCCAACTGCATATGCACCAAGGTCCTTAAAAAGAAGAGGCAGGAAGTAAAGGCAACAAGCAAACCCTGGATAGTGTGGGGGAGGCACTGAGAATTTGAAGATGGAGCAAAAAGGAGATGGTTGTTAATTAGCTAAACTCTGCACAACTCCTTAAGTCAGCAGAGGTCAGAGCACAGAGCACCATCCAAAGAAAAAGCACTCCAGGAGTCCTCTGCTTTTCTCTTGGATTTTGTTTTTTTTTTTGGCATTGCAGATGATCAAATGTTGGCTCACATCAGCACAAACCTCAAATACTGTCACTACCCCTTCCTTTGATGCGTTTGAAGCCAAAGGCCAAGATGAAATTATGTATTTTTCACAGTGAGAGAAAGAAGAACACACTGAAGAAATGAGTTTGTCTATAATCTATAAATATACTCAAAGAATAAATTAGATGGCGTGTGAGTACAGTTCCTCTGGCTGTGGTCACGGCTGCTCTCACAGACTGAATAGAAAAGATGGCCTAATCAACACAGAGAGCACCTATTTGGTTGTGATGCTTCAACACCAACAATGCTACAAGTCCACACTGGTCAGTATGTGGCTGCCATACACAACAAATGGTACGTTACAGTAGCTTTAGATGGTGAGAGCAAAGATATCTGTTTTGACTTTATTCTCAAAAAGATCAATAATATTTTTCTCAATGTGGCTCTAATACTGCTTCATATAGGATAATATGCTGACTGATTTTTTTTTTTTTTTAATTGAATGACCCAGGTGACACTTCCATCAGTGCTGTGCTGGTGTCAGTTTTACCTTGGTCTCTGTTCGCGAACAAGCCCACATTTTGACAGGTAGCATTATGCAGTTTTCATAGTAGGAAAATCATGGCAGAATCTTGGGACTGCATCTCTAAACCATTAGTTATAAAACAGTTTTCTGGTACGCTGTCCCATTGCCTCTGATGGCAGATGGTTCCACCTTTGGGCCCTTGGTACCTTTGACACCTTTGTGGTTTTGTGTGCGGTGCTAGCATTGGCTATTGTGCACCTGCACCTTTCTTTTTTTTTGGTGGAACTGCAGGAAGCAGGTTATAGATTAGTCAGGTGGACCAACACTTCAATAATAATAAAAAACAATTTGAACATTAGTTAAGTTGCTGCACAAAATTATTTACCGACCTAATGTCTGTTCTATGAGAGGTCTAAATACAGAAGTTTAAATCTTTGTCAGTAGGGTAAAGCAGCAGGCACTGAGTGTCATACTACAGGTTAAGGAACCTTTTGTCTCATTTTAATCACACCTGACGGTCACACATATTGTTTTTAGGAAATGAACAGTCAGCCAGGATGGATTTCTGCTTATTTTTTAACAGTACTGGTCCTTTTTTTTATTATAGACTTCACGCAAAACATGCCCATCTGCTCTAAACAGCTGGCTATGCCAAATGGTGCGAATACTACTCAATGTGAATTTTAAATAGTTGGTTATAAATACAGCATATTAATAAAAAGGAAAGTGTTCTCATAATTCCCACGACACCACTATAAAAGTTCAGCATGTTTGTTGGCGTGTAACAGCCGGTGAGTGATCATTTTGAGGTCGGGTTTGACTGCTTTTACATGGAGTGTACCTTTTGTTTTCCTCATTAATACAGCAGGTGCAATTTGCTATAGTAGGTGTTCTCCTAATGTTTCAAATCATAAATGCTCTCAGAGGAAAAGAAACAAAAAGAAAAAACAGTAAAAAAAAATTAATGTATGAAGTTTTATTGCATTTAAAATACTTGAAAAATGATCATGTATGTGTTAATCATCTTCTCAAATAGCCCTTTTACGTTACAAATGAGCTGACAGCGGAGTTTCAGCACAGCCACACATCAGAGATTATCTGCGAGTTAATCATGTGTAGGATCTTGCTGTGATGTTACAGGCTTTGTCAGCACAAGCACAAAAGCTTGTGATGAAGGGAGTACATATTCGAGGACATCTCTGCCTCCGTTTGATGTGCGTAACTTAAAGAACTGTTAAAGGATTTAAAACATTTTTTGTTTCGTCTTTTTCTTCCTTTATCAGCCACCCGCAGAACTGGCTCTTGATCATGCCTTGGTCATCATTTTTTCAAGGTTGAGGCAGACTGTTAATGACTGTGCGCACCACATCGTTTTAAGGAATGTAAAGCCAGCAAGGGACGCATCGTGGGCAGTGATGCTGTTTATGACTTCTGGTCAGACAAAGAGCTCGTGCTTTAAAAATGAGCATGTTGAACATTTAACGTGTCTCTTTTAGTTCTGTGAGTCAGAACGGGATTAAACCACTAGGTGGGACTGTTTACTTTGATAAAATGCCCGACTACTGCTTTGACATGACCGCTGGTGTATTTCAAAAACCCTCCATTCCCACAATCCGGTGCAGACAGTGAGTGTTTTCTGTGTAAGTGTAATCCCATATGCATGAGTAAATTTGTTAGGAGCAAGTGCAAATGTGTTACTGTGTCTCTCTTTTATAAGTCGTCTACAAGCTGTAATAATCATTGAACTAAAGCAGCAGTTCCTTACAGTTGGGGTGAAATCACCACAGGAAAAAGTGTTTAATGCTTTTAGAATCAAACTTTTAATTCATCAGGTTGATAAAGTCATGTTTTATGGCTTTTGCTGGTTTGCAGGATTAACCTCGGGGGTAAAAGCTAAACGTTTGGGGTCCGTTATAATGCAGGGAACATTCCTCGTTAGATTTACTTTCATATTGCTCAGTTTGTTTCATCTAAGGGTTTCCTGTAATTGTAGCTAATTTAGGTCTTTGTGTACACACTGATTTGGCAAACACAAATCTGTTTCAATTTGATTTTGTGAATGAAACCACAGGTTTCGTAACTTGAGCGTGTTGGAATACTTAACATCTAACATTTCTAAATACACTGTAATAAACATGTGGCCAGATTCAGCCTTGTTTGAGTTGCTGTCAGTCTGCACACACATGGAAAACTTTTTATCACAGCACTTTTGATTGAGCTCATAATTAGGGTTTTACATCTTTGTGTATTAAGCTTGCCTTTTTTTCTATCTGCACTGCTGCTTACATGTAATTTTTCATATGCATTG